GCGGGCAGAGAGAGAAGGCAAATGTGGAAAATGTTAAAAAAAATTGGTCTATATTAGTATTACTTTTTCAAATTTTCTGTTGTTTTGAATTTTTTCAAAATAAAAAGTAGACAAAGAAAAAAAGATGCATTACTAACCAATGAGACAAAAATGATACTGACAACATAAATGATGGAAGTCAGAGCACAATGGAAGCATATCTGGAAAACACTGAAAGAAAATAACTGTCGATTTATACTTCAATGCCCAACAAAAATATCCTTTAGAAATGAAGGCAAAAATAAAGACATTTTCATACAAATAAATACTGAGGTAATTTGTCAGCAGCAGATTCACCATAAAAGAAATAATAAAGTTACTCACGTGGAAGGAAAATGATGCCAGACTGAAGCACAAGGAACTAGGAAGTAATGAATAACAAAAGTAAATATGTGAGTAAATACATGTATTACATATATTTGATCAACTTGATAAAATAGTAGTAATGATTTTGCAATAAATTACAAAAAGTAAATAAATATTTATAAAAGTCGTAAATATTTGGTGGAGATACTGTAGATTCAAGGCTGTAAACTTACAGCCTCTCACCTGGCTCTCTGGCATCCGCCAGTACTGACTGAGCAGGAAAAGAACTAGGGGAGCCAATGAGCGCGGGCTTCAGGGCAGGAGCCTGCGTTAAGCGGCTAAAGCACCTAAGTGGGAAGGCACCCTACCTTTGACCCGGCAATAAATCTGAAAGCAAAGCACAGCAACTCTCAGTTACCTGTTTGCTAGAAAAGGACACTGTGTCAGTACAGATAAAAACTAGACGCATCATGCATTTGAAGTATGAGTTTCAAATTCCTTCTCAGCTGCGTATTTTACCTGCATTTTGGGTAATTAGCAGATTAAATTTTCCCTCTCGCATGGGGCAAATAATTAGTCATAGGAAATAACAACAACAATAGTAATTAACAGCAGCAGCAAAAATAAAAAAACAAAATTATATATACATATGCACACACAATGCTTACCCCAAACTGGAAAGAAGAAAAAACAAAAAGTAAGAAATCTGAACAATCCACACATTGGTCCTGTTTGGAACAGTGAACCGAGGGTGGAGAGGTATAGGGAAGATTTAAAGTCAGAGCTCCTGGGGTGGGAAGCTTAAAAAAGGGGTTTATTATGTTCCCATTTTTCATTTCTTGTTCGTCATGTGTTTTTACATTATAGTGGTTTTCTTAGAAACTACGAAATTCACTCTTAGTGTATTTAAATCTAATATAAATGAGTACTTTGGTCAATACCTAAGAAACTCAAGGGTGTTAGAAACACCGTAAATCCATTTACTTTTATCCTGCCTTCTTACTCCTGTGCTACTGTGGTCAAATATATAATCCCATTAGAGATATTTGCCCATTTTTCCTATTGAGTTGCCTTTTTTTCTTATTGATCTGTGGAAACTTTTTTTATTTTTAGTATTCTAGATATTAGTCCTTCTTTAGTCTTACGTATTGCAAACGTTTTCTTCCAATCCATGCTTTTTTTTTTATAAAACAGCTTTATAGAGGGATAACTGACATACAATGAACTGTACAAATGTAATGTGTACAATTTGATGAGTTCTGACACAGCTATCCACCTGTGGAACCATCACCACAACCAAGATACTAAAACATGCACCTTCCTCCAAAGTTCCTTCATGCCCCTGGGGAGCCCACCCTGCCTCACCCTCCCCCCCCATCTCCAGGCACCTACTGGTATGATTTCTGTCTCTACAGATAACTTTGCATTTCCTAGAATTTCACGTGAAAGGAATCATACAATATGTATACTCTTCTTTGCCTGGCTTTTTTTCACTCAGTGTAAGTATTCTGAGATGTGTCCAGGTGTTTGCCTCATTTCTGTTTATTGTTTTTCAGAGCAGTATCCCACTGTACAGACATACGAATATATTCACATAGTGATAGACACATTGCTAATACTTGGTCTGAGTAGTCTCTTTAACTTTATTCATTCTAGTGGTTTTGAAGTGGGATCTCATTAGAGTTTACATGTTGCCAGTGACATGTTATTGACAACCTTTTTGTCTGCTTATTAACCAAAGTGTCTGTCTGCACCTTTTGTCTATTTTTAATGGGACCATTTCCCTTCTTACTATTGAACTGTAAGAGTTCTTTACATATTCTGATACAACTCCTTTATTATGTAGGTGTATAGTGAATATGTTTTCCCAGTCTGTGACTTGTTTTTCAAAGATAGTTTTTTTCTTTTTATTTTTCTGCACATCCCAGCAGCAGCAAAGCATATTTTGAGAGTTAGTTGAATAAATCCCAGAATCTGAGCTCAACTGTTTATGCCATTATCTGAACAAGAGTGATTACTCTTTTGCATTTCTATCAGTGAAGTATTTACATAACATCTCCCTGATGTCAAATAAAATACTGCCTAGAACAGCACAAAAGGCCCTTAGTTCATTGTCATAAAGTTGTTGGTTTTATGATGTAAGCTTTTCAAAAGTAGCAAGGTTGTCATACTGAAAATCTGCAACTGATTTAAACTTCGCAAGTTATCAGCTCTAATGAATAAACTGAGCTCAGAGTTTCAGAGACTACCGGGAAGCAAAGACAGTCTTAACTTGCTTCATTAAATGTGAGCTGCTACTGATGCTTTTAGCTATTCAGGAAATCTGCCTGAAAGCGACTCACTTTGTTACAAGGTCCTGCAAATTTTCATCTGTGACATCACTGACTTCGTAACTGACCCACATGATTGTCTTTCTAAACGCAGTCAGTGTCCAAGATGTCCCACCAAGAAGCCAACTGAAGCATTTGCTCTAAGGCATCAGCTGCAATAACACAAGAGTAGGAAGGAGTCTGAGAGACAGCGACAGAGACAGAGAGATGGAGGGAAATGAGACTGAAGAACGTCATTCTTCAAGACTGAGTTCCACAAGGAAGAACGAGATGACACTGGAGGACTACCAAAAATTCCCAAGGAGAAAATGCACTTTAATGGGAGACAAAAATCCATTTTTCTGTAATAACACGGGGGCAAGATAATAAGGTAAAGTGTAATACTAATTAGCACGGTTTATCCTCCCTCCAGCCTTCCTTTGCTGGCACTCACGGCCCACAGGATAGGCGTCTAGGAGCAAAATTATAAATAGTGACAAAAGAATTGATCTCTTGGTTTTTGACCTTTAAAAACTAAGGGCTCTGCCTGAAGAACAGAGTGAGTTTTTCCCTCCCTGCTTTCACCGTCTCTCCCTCCATGCACTCGAACGAGAAAACAATTCCTCTGGGCGGATATTCTTAATCAAAGGGGAGTAAAGCTCCATGATGACTAAATGCAGTGAGTGATTCTGAAGTGGATCCCAGATTAGAAAGGGAAAAATATCCATAATGGGCATGGCTGAGATGATTGGAAATTTCTGTATATAGATCTATGTTAGCAATACTAATAAAGGCATTTTGTCCACACTAAATTCCCAAATGTGATAAGGTAGAAGATGCCTTGCTCTTGGGAGACACATGGTGAGGTATTTTAGTGTTAAATGACATGATGTAGGCAACTAGCTCTTTATTGATCCGTGGGGGGTGGGGGTGGGAAAGTGTGTGTGTGTGTGTGTGTGTGTGTAGACAGAGAGATAGAGCAAATGAGACAAAAAGTTAGCTAATGGTGTGTCTAGATAAAAGGTGTACAGATATTCATTATATTAGTCTTACAACTTTCCTGAAGGTTGAGGTTTTCAAAATTAACACACTTTTTGAGATGGGAAGAAAGAGACAATCAGAAAGGAGAGCAAAACAGTGAGATGCTGATCAGGGGCTCTCAGCAAACAGGTGTTTGTTGCAAAAGAGAGAATAATACTCAGATGTGATAGCAGAGGGGACTTGCGCTCCGCTTCTGACCTGGATTCCTGGGCAGTAGCAGCCTTGCCTGGAGGAATAAGGTAAAGAGGGCTGTGTGGAGTGTTGAGGGCCAAGAGGGCTTGAGACAGCCAGCCACGTTACCCAAGGCAGAGTAGAGCAGCCAAACTTTATCATTTCCAGCGCTCCAGAGGGATCTGTAAATTGCCCAGCTGAGGGCTCATCTCCCTGATGCCAGGATGCTTTCTGCCACTCCAGAAAGAAGAATGGAAAAACTCTCAACTTACTGAGCTGAAACCTGGAAAGACTGACTTACCCACAAATGACTTTTTGTTTTATGTCACTCAACAGAATGGGGACTTAACCCTGAGATGAGGGTTAAAGGCTAAAAAAAATAAAAAGTGTTACATTTCTTTTTCACCTATGTTTCTGTGGCCTGAGACTCTATTCCAAAAACAATATTTTCACTCTAACAAACAGATTTTGCTTGGACATTTGTAACTCACTCCAAACCTTGGATGCTGCTAATTCAATCTGGATTCCGTTCCCAAGGATCCTCTGCAATCAGTATTAATGGATTGGGGCAAGAGAGGAGATGACTTCATATTTATGAATACTGAATATGAGGACTCAGCTTTTTGCCTTCCGGGAGCCAAATTCCTCTTCTGGGAAGTGCTTCTCTGTTAAAATGACAAACATTTTTAAAGTGCCAAATACTTTTAAAAAGTAGCACATGGAAAGGCTTTCTAAAATCAATATCCAATTTTGGTGATTACACAGTTGTTTCTCTAAACTCAGGTAAGGCACCTTGTATACTCATAGAATTTTGGAAGCATTTACAGTTACAATTATCAACTTAAACTATGTATTAAATGTTAGCTCTTTGAAAAAAAACCCCAGAAATATTCCTTGTGGTCTGTGTCATTAAGCTAGATTTTTACTTGGCAGCACTCAAGGTAGAGATTCTTGCAACATTAAGATAATAATCTCTCCTCTGCAGATTTTCAGTACCTTGGGAATTCAAAGATCAAGTTGCTTAGAGACCTCATGGAATCTGCAGAAAAAGCAAACTCTAATCTTGACATTAGTAATTAACGTTCACCTTACTCTGAAAATTCAGTTTGTTGGCGGCTTAGCTGCTCTTTGGAGCTGAATAATGCCCTTGCTACACCGCATCCCACACGCTTTCCATCCTGAGGGTGGGTGAGGCACTTCAAGGCTCTCTCCAGGTTCTTCTCTCATGGGCACAGTATCAGGCTCTTGCTCCCATTGGCCACTCAGGCAAAACCAAGTTATATAAGTCTGATCTATATGCGTACACACACACACACAGACAAATATGCATTTTATTGTGACTAAGGCATGTGCTAATTCTAATTGCTCTGATATTTTCCCATATATTTACATTATAACTCTTTGGACTGAGATGCATGAGTGCTTGGCTAATACATAAATCAATACCATCCTCAAAATTGAAAAGAGAGACTCCATCTTCTATTTCACCCATAAAAGACAATTTATTGACTTGACTAATTAGCCAAAGTCGTTA